GCATTGTGTCTCATATTAAAATTTGTGATACCTTCTGTCCTAGTGAGAGAAATATAAAGCAAAATAAAAAATGATGAAGTGTAGAAGAACTGAGAAATTTGCTTCTAAGTACCAGCAATGATATGAGTTCTCTGCAGCTGTATCACTGACATAATATCTCTGGAAAAAGCAAAATATCTAGAAAATTTAGAATAAGCAAAATATTGCATAATCACAGTCACAAAGCTGATGCTGAACTATTCCAGAGATTATAACTCAAGTCACAAAGAACCTCAGTGAAATCAGTTCTAAAGATTTCCTGAAAATTCAGCCTACATACATAGCCTATGATCAGTCAAAAGTATCATTTTTGCACAAAATTTTACACATCAGCTTCAAATTTTTCTCAGTGATATAAAAAGAAAGTAGCAACTCATTTATGGGCAGCACAGTTTGGCTGAGGCAGGAACTAAACTATACTTAGCTTTAGGACTGACTCGCTGCACGAGTGTTGGGAAACCATTTAACCTATTCCATTTTCCCAAACTGCCCCTGATTCTGTGAAATACTCTTTAGTACATGTGTGACAATTCAATGCAGTGAAATTATATACATATATATATATAGACAGCGTTGTGTGTGAGTGTTTTGCACACATGATTGTCCTACATCATTCCCAGATGCAAAGTACCATTAATTTAAAATTGATATGCCTGATGTTCCAAGTCTATTTTGAAATGGCAGTATCTGAAGGAGGAACATTTCTTTTTGCTTTTCATGTCAAATAGTAAATGCAAATAATATGAATAATGCCAAGTATTGCAAATGCAAACAGTAATTAACAAAATACGTTTTACAGGTGAATTCTCATGCAGCTGGAAGATGTTAACTTATTCCTCTCCTCCAACTGGACCTTACCTCTGCTATGAACTTACTTTTTACTTGCATCATGTCTTTTAACACAGTGTTGTTAAATGAGGCTACACCGAACATGAGCACCAAACATCACTAACAACATTTAACAGTGAAACTGAAGGAGGTTTAGGTAGCACTCCCCAGCTCACACAGCACAGCAGAGTAAAACATTGGTACTTGAAGTCACAGTCCCTGAGTCAGTACAACCTTGCTCTTTTTGTGGCTTTTGTGGTCCCTCTTCCAGAGCTTCCCTCTTTAGTTTTCATAAGGCTGACTTTCACATAGTTATGGAGACAACCATGACTGGTGATATAAATTCACTGCATTGATCACAAAGCTCTGTCTGCCAGTAACAGAGGTCAGTGATAATGGCAAGTGTTGGCCCTGATGAAGCTCTCTACCATGTACTTATGTGCTGCTCTTCGGAGTCATCTCAATTGCATCTCACAGCTCCTGAGCCCTAATACACAAAATACACAGATTTTTTTTCAGTCATTCATTTCTAATATCAATGCCACAGTACAAGTGCTGAGAAACAAAGTGAAAGATAAAAACCCTCCAGAAGACATAAACTTAACATAAACTACAGGAGGTTGATCTGTCCTGAAGCAAAATCAAACTGCATGCTGGACACAGAGTTGGATATAAGGCTGTCATCAAGGCTCCCCCTCCAAGCACAAACATGATTATTAAGATGAGAGGCATTTAAAACCTTAATCAGGTGCTAGCCCAATGTACTTATTAAACACTTGTAACTGCAAATCACAGGCCCACAGCTGGCCATACTTTTGTGAAATAAGCTGGAGTTTCCAGAAATAATGATCAAAGTCCACAATGTGTATGTGGACAGTGCTTCCATGTATTTGCAGTAGACAGAAAACTACAAAAGGTGTAAGTTCCTTTCTATTACACGCACCTATTACATTATATCTACTCCTTTTTATTATATATGATCAGTGTCTCCTAACATTTAGTGGAAAAAGAGGGAAAAAATCTTTTCTCCCAGAAAGTCCTGAGTTTTCCCATTCAAGAGATGCAATGCATCATTAACTTCTATGCAGAAAACATTGTTCACTCCAACCAGCAATTAGTAGCAACATTTCTATCCTGTGCAGTGATGAGATTTTTATGCTAATCATTACACAGCAGTAAATTAATCATTTGGGCACATTTAGATGGTATGTATATTTCATGAGACAGATATAGATATCAAGATCAGTTTGATATTTACTTATGGTAAATGGAAGTGTCTCAAATCGCTACGGGGGAAGCATACTAACTAAATATACAGCCAAGGATGTTTGTAATGGAGCAGCAGAATCAGCACTGCTTCAACTCTCTCTTTGTTTTTAATTATTTTAAGGGAGTTAAAAGTCTTGTGAGAGCACAAAGAACAGAATCATTCAAAGAGACAGTAAAATGTCAGTATTGTCATGGCACAATGAAGGACAAAAGCAAACCTACCCTGCAATTCATCTTTTATTACTGGCAAAATTACTTACAGTAAAATTACTTATGCAGTATTGAAAACAGATTTTTTTATCAGCATTTGTACTATAGTCTAGTCAGGTAAATGAATTATGTATTGGCCTCGTCCCTCCATGACTATGTCTGAAAGCTTCAAGTTGTAGCTGAAAGGAAGACTACCCAGGGGCCTCCCTTCTCAGCAGATGCAAGAGATTTGTAAGACCTTGAGGAAAATTATTATTTGAAATTTAAATTTTTGACATATATTTAAATACTAGTGCTGTTTTTTTCAGCTCTCACCTCACAAATCTTTGCAGGCAAAACCCCAAATGTTTATTGGAGGGAAATGTACCCATGGTCCCTTTGATCTAGATCATTATCAAATTACTTATGATAAGCACAGATTTATAACAGGTGATCCTCACAATAATAGTAATATAAATAATGTCCTAAGCTACTACTTTCTCAATTAAAAGTTGAGAAAGATTCTCAAGGATTAATGGCATGTGAGTAGAAGGCAAAGTTATGTTGACTTACCTGGATCACATCAGAGGGGTTCTTGAACTGAAAATTGACCAAGTGATACATGTTTGATAGCCACTACTTGGAAGAGCATAATTGCTACACTGAGCAGTGGTAAAGAAAAGCTATTGCACAGATGGTACAAAATCCCACTGGGAAAGAAAATAAATTTATTAGCATCTCCTCGTTTATGGAAATTTTTGAGAGAGGTGCATCTGAACAGGCAGATTATCAGGAGATAAGATGGATTATGGACAGATGACCTTTTAGGTCTGAGAACTAATACACATCATAACAAAAAAAAAGGGTGAATCACAGAAAATGTCTTCTTTTTAATGAAATCTGGTTTTACAAGTAAAAAAAAAAATCTTTTGTTTTTCAATATCAGAAATCAAACATTTAAATTTTCATTATTTATATAAAAATAACATGGTAGATTTGATTTTTGAACATTTTTTTCCAAAACCAATGCTTATCTCTAGAGCTGTGTATCTGAAGCAGACATGAAGCTGACATTTTCTTCAGGGTCATCATGGTCTTAATTTTTACAGTCTATCTTATATAATTGTGCTGCTTTTGGCCTGGGAATGGTTAATTTACTTACTTAGGAGCTGACAAGCACATCTTGACATGTGCTGTGGTGCCATGTGCACACTTGTAGTATTATTCTCCCCTGCAGAGGAGTATTCTTGACTCCAGAGATTTTCTATTTGACTTGAGGCAATGGAGAAAAACACAAATAAACACCATTTTCAAGAGTATAGGTTAAGATTTGCAACAATATAGGTAACTTCACAGAATATCCTTCTGAATTTCTGATGTATAGCCTCATACCCTGAGGGAAAACAATATGGAACAACAATTCAGGAAACAGTCAGTCACACTCTATAAAGGACAAAAAAGCTGGATTTGGAGACAGCTGAGGATCTGTCAGTGGTGAGCACCACCAACTATGCTCCTGTCAAGCAAGAAGAAACATAGACATCATGCCTTGAAAGCAGAGGAAATCTTTGCCAACTTTATTTCAATATTGTTTCTTTAAAAAGATAAAGCAGAGTAACTCCAGGCAGCTTTTATGCTCTTGAAGTGATTTGGAGGGAATATTGAAATAGTTAATAAATTTGATGGAAAACAGCTATTATCACAGTAAACAGATACCATAATTATGAATTCTATAAAAATTAATTGCTCATTATTCAGCTATTGCTCAACAGCAGAACTGATTAACAGCACTAGGAGCTGCTATTTGGTTTAATACTCCATGTTCATAACATTAGTTTTTTTGGTGTGGATTATATTGCAACAGTTATTCACATCACTAAGTTTGCTTGCTGTAAAATTTGAAATCACAAACAAGGATCACATCACAAGGAAATGAGCAGAAATCATATACCTTTAAATATTCCCCAAGACCAGTTATACCTTCTCTACAGACATGCCTGAAACTCATCTGAACCAACAAAGCATAAAACAATCAAATTCCCAGGTTAATCTCTCCTCAAAGTAAATTTGTACCAGCATCCTCTAGCCCAGCTTCAGCAGGGGAGACCATCCCTGGAAGTGAGGGGCAGCTAGGAATGGCTTCAAGATTAAAACCTGCTCTTACACTTTGTTTGGATATCAGCTGGCAAGTACTGAAGGTCACAGATCACAGCTATGTGCTGTTTCTGAAACATGGCATCTCATAGAAAAACTGCCACACAAAATTCTCTGCCTGTCACTACGGTGAGCCCTCCATGAGAAAGAAAAAGACACACATGGCTTTCCATGAGGAAGTGCCCAAAAAACACAGGACAGCTGGGAGTCCTCTGTTGGCTCTCTATCCTCTGCATCCTGGTTTATTTGAGTCTTAGGTGAACCTCTCCTAAGATCTAGAAATGGACCTGAATGAAACTATTATGCTAATTTAGCATTTTGACTATTATTTGACCATTCTAACATATCATTAAAAAAGACATGATTAATTTGTCCTATAACCTGAAAACTTCTAGAAACTGCAGTTTTACTTTAAAGCAGTAAAGAGAAGAGGCTGTTTGGTTACTAGAACATAATTTCAATGCATAGAATGAGAGACAGAAACAAAACCAGTAAATGTGTACACTAAATCAATACACTAATTATTCTGTTGCAAAAAATTTATTTGGTATATTTTTCCTGCTGCAGAAGATCACTGTGCATACAAATGGTTATTATATCATAGTCAAAGAGGTACCATATCTTCATCTGAAATTTAAAAAGTACTTAAAGGAATACCCTTAAGTGAAAACCACAAATGGAAAAGATCAAAACAGCAAAAAGAAGCAGGAATGCATAAAAGAGAGTGTGTTTTGAGGAAAACAGATATAATAATAAAGCAGAAATTCAAGGGTAGCAGAATTTACTATGGCCATAGTCCACATGCATTAGTGGACTTACAAACTTTACTGAAGAACAGAGATCTTCTTTCTTGCTGTTTTATTACCTTGGCAACATATCCTCCATGTCAGCAATTACATAGGAGACAACAGCCCAAACAGCAGCACAGAGATTCATCTGGTTTGGATCCTGAACTGTCATCGTGTCCCCTTGAGAATGATGAAACCAGAAGTATTTATTGATGTCATCCTGCAAGCTGGCACCTACAGAGAAAAATGGGCAAAGTTCCATTATAGGAATACAAATATTTAAAGAGGAATATAAACTTGAATCTGTTCCTGGGCTCTTTATGATTAAAGCCACGTGCAACTGCATAAAATTCATAATATATTTGAAATAAAATAACTGTACAGAGCTGTGTCATGTGCAGCTTGTAGGGTTTAGGTTAATTGACTCATGTGAGCATGAGGCAGCAAAAATTCACACTGGGTAAAAGACAACCTTCTCCTGGGAAACTCGTTTCCTCAGCAACAGTATGCATCCATTTTCTTCTGAAACTAACAGATTTCAAGCAGGAAAATCCCTACAGTAACTCCACAGCAGCAGCTTTCCCTGTTCTCCACTGATGAGTTACAATTGATTTATGAATCCTTTTCTTGCTGTTATTTGTGTTGGGGAACTTTGGAATTTGTTTCTGCTTTTGAGCCCCTGTACATCACCAGGATGTGCTGTTTCAGAACACGTTTCCAGATAATCTGGGTAACCCAGGTAGCCCAGGACTACATTCCTCTCACAGTCAGGAGTCCTCATCAGCTGGGGCAGAAGCAAGTTGAGTGGAATCACAATTCTTCCCTTTCAGCAACAACTAATTCCCCCTGGGACCACATAGGCAGGGAAAGGACTACTTTCCCCCAAGACAGGCGGGCTCAGGGAGCACAAATAATGCTTGCAAGGTTTTACTCAAGGCAGGCCAAAGCCAAGATGAACTGGAGAAGATGATACCCAACTAGGAGCTGCATCGGAGATGCTGGCAGAGGATTATTACCCTGGCTATTCTCTGCTCCAGTGCCCACTGATCCCCATTTCTCTTGAACTTCCTCCCTTGAATTTCCTTCTTTCCCAATTTATTACTTCTGTCTCTCCTCCAGTTTTACTACCCTCCATCAGTTTTGTTGTAATGTCAACAACCATTCCACCATTAACAAAATTCCACAGCAAATTTTGAAAATAAGTAAATTTGAAATTTTCCCCCACCACACTCATTCACTGCTTGAATGCAATTCCTTTGCATTGATTCCCTTGTCCTGCTCACTGACCAGGGCTAGGAGCTGCACAGCTCCCAATGAAGGACCCACTTAGCACAAGACCCACTCCTTTCTTGGTCTACAAACCCAGAGAACTGCTGTCAATTCACAAGTAAGAGCTATGGGCTGCAGGCAGAAACACAGACTGAGGATACTCCTGCCATGCCAAGAAGGAAAAAAAACCCAGAATTGTTTGACTATAAAGAAGAAGTATATAAATTATTCATATTATTTATTTACATGCAGTGGAAATCAGTATCAGATGATGAGGGCTTTGATAAACTCATGTGTGCTCATAAGACTTACTGTTATGATTTTTCTTGGTTTTCTGAGATGCCTGAAGCCTTTGAAGAGAATGAAAGCAAAATTTCCCACAGCATAACTGTACATTCCTATAATACATATCTTTTGATCACTCAAACAATCCAGCTCTCCCTGTGGGTAACAGGCATGTTTCTCTTGCTGTAATGGGGACTGACTTGGATGGCTCAGTTCACTGCTATTTTAGAGAGATGGAATAGAAAGTTAATGCATTTTAATTCCACCCAAGGTGAAGATCCCTTCATAAGAGAGATGATAAGCTGAAAGTCCAAATGTTACAGCATAAGGTTATACAGTATTATGACTGATTTTAAGAAGCTCTTCTTGTTCTTAAATGACCTGTTTGCTCCTCACTTGAAGTGTTGCAATCCCACAGAAGTTAATGGGTAGGTTACAGGTGATGAATTATGTTCTAATCATTTTAGCATTAAATTTATGTCAAGTCATGGTCACTTTTAAAATTTTCTTCTGAATCCTTTTAAATATATGCAATCATAAAAGGATTGAACAGTGATAAATCCTTTAACTGATGAACTTTTGTACTACAGACACATTACAAGTTAAGCTGTTGAGGCAGCCGCATTACTGTTTTTGAACACTTCTGTAAGACTCAAGACAAAAATTGCACAGATTTTGCCACAAGAAATTTCACTAATCAGAGTAATTATGGATTTACAGAGAAGCACTCTATTCCTGTGAATGGAACAAAACCAAACACCCTTTGCTTTGTCATGTTTAACTCCTGAAACACTGGAAAATATTTTTTTTTCTCTAAATTGATAAGTCAGAAAATTATCAACTTTGACATCAAGCAATTACTGTGCAAGAAGATCAAAAGGTTCTCAAACTGGCCATGCTGTCTCTGCAATGTTGTGAGCTAGCACTGAAGCCCGTGACATGCAAACATCTTGAGGGACTAAGAAAAGACCCTAAGAAAGCAGTTTTATCCTATGTAATCAGAAACAAAAGTGAAAATCCATGTTCTTGGCTTTGAGCACAAGAAGAGTTGACAGCTGAGGGCCTCACACAAACCTCTGGACATGAAGCACTCTGGGGCACAGATATGACTGCAACCAATTTTTATTGCAAGGAAGTCTCTTGTTTCAAACTTGAGACTCCTCCATGCTGATGTCAGCTGCCTGCAGACGTTTCTGCTGCCAGAGGTGGCCAGGCTGCACTTTCACTAGTAAATGCATCCAGGGCTCAGAGCAGCCCTTGCAGATGACCATGAAGAGGGAAATTCTGCAGGCCCCTGGAGACTGCAGTCATGTTGGGTTACTTCAGTAAAGTCCATGGGGACCTACAGCCTCCTTTCTAAAAACCTACCAGAAGAAGCAATGCTGTGAGCATAATTTTTCATTGTTGTTGCTATGTAACATTTGTCTCAGGAAGAAGTCACTAACAAATGGGGGCTTATTTTCACCAAGCTAGGAGTCAAGTAAAACAGATGAGGAGCCATGGCTCACAGACCTATAAAGTTTTCACCCATGTTCATGCTAGCCACCTAGAAAGAGAACAGCATACAGCCTTGAAACAGTCTATAAGCTTTAATTAAATACTTAAAAAACCTTCAGCTGGGCAGTGTTATGTAGGAATGTAACACATATCTAATTCCAATTTCCTGATGGAACCAACACTTGAACAGAAAACCAAGAGTTGGGCTAGGTGCTACACTGTCACAAATCATGCACTTTGTGCTTTTCTTCCTGCGTTTGCAGAGCACCCATAAAGAGAAAAAAGAAAGGGATGTTTGCCAAACAACCCTCTTTAATTGTCCTTTTTCAGTCTCCCTGCTTTTCCAGTGGTGCAAGTTACATGAGGAATGCTGTTGACCAAAAAAGAAATCAGTGAGAAAGTGCTTCTACCTGGATATAATAGATGCTGTGGCATGAAAACAGAAACTGTTAAAAACTGCTGCCAAAAAATGCCATACATATTACTTGAATGCATCAAAAATACTGGAAATTAAAAACTGGAGAAAATGAATCATTTACAACTTCAATAAAGTAATACAAAGATAATTCATAGTACCATTACCATTACAAGGTGACAGAAAATCCTCTTTAGCATAGTTTAGTGCATGTTGCACCTAATTTAATGTATGTTACTGCATCAGCAGCTATCTAGTGCCACAGTGGTGATCCCCCAGGGTCAAACACCAGGACAGAGAGGCTGCAGAACCTCCATCCTTTAGGATATTCAAATCCTGACAGAACATGGTCCTCCGCGAGCTGCTGCAGCTGACTCTTTAAGCTGGGGGCTTGGACTAGGCAAGCTCAAGGGGTGCCTGCCAAACTCAGCCATTGTGTGGCACTCCAACCCATGGTGCCTTGGGTCTTTCAGACATCCCTTAGAATTAACACAACATAAAAAAAGAATTCTTCAATTCAAGTTCATTCCTGTCTTGAACTCACTTGTTGATTCTCTGCATGACCAGCTGCTATGTCATACTTGGTTTGATGCACTGCATAAGGCAGGTAAAAGCAGCTGCTTTGCCAGTTCATACTGACCATGTATTTTTAGTAATCAGCTATGTAAGAGTGTCTTGATGAAAATACACACACACTGAGAAACTTTGAAAAACAGTCCATCCCTTCTAGCTTCTGCTCTCAGCATGAAATGCCCAATGCAAATACTCACTAGCCGATGATGAGGATATTGACTTGCCTTACTTAGTGCTCATATCAAACACCAATTCTTCACACATTAATAAACTGACAAAGGTCGTATTGCCAGCTTAAGATGAGATGCTGCTATTGAGGTAAAAGGATGCTTGAACCACAAAACAAATGATGGGCATGTCAGTGATAACCACTGCTTCTTGTCACTCTCTGTCAGGCACTGCTTTCATAAGCACTGCTGTCATAAGTCATAACTAGAATTAAACTTTATTGCCAGATATTTAAGCACTCAAAATATTTTCATTTGTGCAAACAATGACTGGAAAAGCAGATAATAATTATCAGAATGATGACAAAGGCAGTTTCCATAAAACACAAATAACTTCAAGGGGGAAAGCAAGCAGTAACTTCAGAGCAATTCTACATCTTAAAACACCGTGCATTACACTTCTCCCTATTTTCTTTCTTTTCTTTTTATACCCCAGACAGCATTCAATTGACAAAGGAAGTAAAATATGAGTTGTGGAGTCAATACATGTTTGCTACAGAGTCCTATCAATAGCTTCCCAGTTATCTTTGCTTTCAAGTAAACCCTGTTTCCATAACCTCTCTTGGTTGTCCTGGGTCTTCAATATTACAGCTAGATCTCTGGGATACTGACCTCTGCATCTATATTGCCTTATACAGTGAAGTTAATACACAAATGATTTATAAAAAACTGTGTAACTTTTTCAGGTTTCATTTTATAGTAGTCCCTATAGGACTTGACAGAATTGCCACTCTATTATTTTACACAGTGTATATACACCTCTCCAAAGAGAAAAGACTCCAGCTCAGAAGAACATACACTCTAAACAGCCAAGAGGACCTGAAGGATGAAAGGGTCATGCAGAGATGAAACGACACATTCATTTTCTCACAGCAGCTGAGAAAGGAATTGATGCCAGACAGCTGAGCTGAGGCCAGTGTTGTGTTGAGTAAGCTGTACTACCTCCTAACAGCAAAGCTGGAAATGCC